CTAAAAAAAAAAAAAAATAAAAAAAATAAAAAAAATAAAAAAAATAAAAAAAAAAGCTTTTATTAACTAGTTATACTACAATTAAACAAAGTTCAACTCTTAATAAAAAGGGCAAAAGAACTAGCTTTCAAACAAAAATGTCATATTATAATAAATAATTTAAACAAAAATATAGTATTTTATAGCATCAATATGTATTTTTTGTTAAACAAATATAATTAATTTGGTCTTACAGTTAGGTTGGTCCTCTCCTTGCACAAAATATTGTATTACAGTTGAGAATGCTCTCCCTTGCAACTTGTAAGCATTACAAACATGAAAGAAGCTCATGGGGATTGCATTTACTAAAAGCATAATGCCATTGTAAAATGGAAAAAAGAAAATAAATTTGAATGATAAATTTCTAAAATTTCAAAAATTAGCCTGTAAATCCCAGTTTTGGAGCCTCAAAACTTGACTATTATAATGCCTTTGATCCCCAAGAATCAAGATGTCTAACTCAAACACACCCACATTATAAGCATAACATTGAATTTAAACATACCCTACAAGTATCCTGCAATTCTTTAGTCAGCTGTAAAGAAGAAGGGAAAAAAAAAAAAAAAAAAACAAAAAAAACAAGAGACTGTTGCTTTCAAATTGTGCGGCACGCGAACACACACGAACACTTGTTTTTATATCTATCTATTCTCCTGGTGCAGATACACCCTGCTTCAGCCTTTCTCTCTTCATCTTCTTCTTCGAAACGGGCTTCTTTTTCTTCGGTGGAAGAGTCTTTTGTGCATAAACGTACAGCACGTAATTCCCGACAAGGAACAACAGAGTTAGTCCACCAACAACGAGCAAAACGATTAATCCCGGGTTGAGCCCTTGGGCCTCCACATCCTGAGCCGCATTTTTCTGTTAAATCCAGAAGATTACGTTAATTTCATCATAAAATAACAAGTCACGCACTCATATCCTAAAATACAGAAAAAAAAGTCCCACTATCGACTACCAAAATAGAATAGGCCACAAATCCCAATTCTAACTTTCTGGTTCTTATAGGTTTAATTCATTGATATTCCATCCAACAAAACGGAAGAATTGTAAACCTCCAAAATAATAGATAGAAGTATCGCAAAATAGACTGCAAATGGCATGAATAGAACTTGGATACATTTTGCCAAAGAACATACCAATGACCAAATTAGTTGAGGTGTATTACTCACAACTCATCATTCAAAACCAGTTGAGGTGTATTACTTCAAGATTTTTCTTTTTTTAAAAAAAAATAAAAATTGATAAATGTGAAAGCCCCGGGACACTTAATGTACATACATGGCTTGCACGACAAAGGAAAAAAATGAACATGATTATGAAGACAAATGACACAATGGGCACGACCTGAAACATGACACAAATAACTAGAAAATATATGAGTTAGCACTTATCATCTATTCGTGATTTGCACGAACTGAAACACGACCCGAAAGCAGGATTAGCTACCCCAGATGTAAAAGTCACGAATCAGGTCAATCACCACAAAGCTTTTATATGCATAAACATTATAGGCTAATAGCATTGGTTCGATGGTGTAAAAGTCACGAATCAGGTCAATCACCATAAAGCTTTTATATGCATAAACGTTATAGGCTAATTAGCATTCGTTCGATGGGTTCGATTTGTCATGGCATAATAAAACTGTTACAATAACCATTTCCTCAAATCTCACCACGGCTTTCTTCTCTCAATAGACAATTCATTAGTTCATTATCAACACTATTAACATATCTGCTTAAACATTGCATTTGAAATCGAGTTTTGCCCGTAAAAGCGACAAGATTATTTCCATATCATGTGCAGAAACAGCAAGTTCTTACCCTTCTCCGGGTAGATACTTGCCTTATTAGTAAAATTTGAATCCATAACCAAAATGCCAGCAGAAAATTCTTTTATTCCTTATACCTTTATCACATTTTTCCCCTCCGAAGTTCAAATTTCAAACCAAAGCCCTCAATCACAACAAAATATATGGTGACAAAACCCATCTAACTCCCAAACCAAAATAAAACGATCAAAAATCCCTTTTTTTTTTAACATTAATTTCAATGGCGAACATCTTTTTCAAAATTCCAGAAAACCCTTGAGAAAAATCAACATGCAGCAACAGAATCACATCAAGCCTGACAATCCACACAGACGTAGCAACCATTTTTTTCATGAACTTTATTGAGAGCAAAATCAAATAAGATAAAATCAGTTGTAATGAAAAAAAAAAATAATAAACAGATCAACCAAAAAATGGAGCTAAAATTGAGATCAGATCCAAAAGAGAGAGAGAAACAAATTACCACGCGATCGAAATCAGCACCTCCTTCGTGCGCCATCGTCGTTTTCGCTTAATATTTCTTTAAGAAGATGGAAATTTTAAAAAAAAAAATAAAAATAAAACTACGAGGGAAGGGGAATGAGCTCAAGGTCTTAACAATGGTGGAAATTTGGGGATGAAGGCTGTGTTTTTTTGTTGTTGTTGTGTGTAACGTATGCGAAAATTGTAATTGAGTACTTAGAGTTTTAGTTATTTATGAATTGACCTCCAAAAAAGAAGACTCTGGAAGATAGTGACTGGATTTCCTTATTTACGTGGAAAGTCGATCTACAGCCAATCAATGTTTGCCAGATATGAAAACTAGTGTAATAGTCATGGAGTGTACATGCTGTCTTGTTTATTTTGCTACGGTCTTATTACGGTACCATCTCGTCGGATATTTTAACCGTTTGATCATCTACTTTATCTAACTACATGTGGATCCAACGTTTAAAACACCCGAAGAGATAGTACCGTAACGGGACCGTAACATTTTCCATTATTATTATTATTATTATTATTATTATTATTATTATTATTATTATTATTATTATTATTATTTATTTCCTTCTCTGTAATGGTATCAACTAAATGTTGGCCATCAGCTACAATTGAATCCAAGAAATTCTCTTTTTGTACATGTGGAGTAGACATGACCAAATCTCGGGTCCAGCCCGACTCGGCAGGTCTCAAGTACGAAATGATCGACCCTAAGTACGAGTGGGGTCGGGCTCGGCTCGAATATGAGACTCCCAAAAAATTTGAAAAAAAAAAAAATCAACGTTGATATCCCTCACCGGCCCGACCCATCGATTGAAATGTTACAAATACTTGACTCTGACTTGGCCCGATTTAAAATCGGGCACCGACTCAGATCCGTCGGCCACGGGTTTGACTGTACTGATTCTGAGCCGATTTCGGGTCGAGTGACCCGTGGTCATGTCTAATGTGGAGTAACTAACATCAAAGTGAGACATGAGGTAGGGCAGGCTCGAAGACCACATAGGGCCCCACTTACCTCAGAGTCCACTATTATTAGTTATTAAATTTAATTATTTAAATTATTTAATTATTTTTTGTCACTTAGAAAAATTTCAATAATAATAATCATTCAATGTCTTAAATTTTAAAAAGTCTTTTATCAGTTGCAAATAAATTAACTAATCTCTTTGTCATATGAAAAGTTAAACTAATATGAAACTTTAGATCCATCAATTGAGCAAAGACAAATGTCCTAAATTCCTAGTATTCTGTCCACATATTAACATCAAAATTTTGGACAAGGTTATTATCATAAACATATATTAATGTTCGTTGCATCGTATAGAAGGTTGACTCGATTATGGAGTCGTAACAAAATTGGCTACGCGACATACACCAAACAAAAGTTATAAAGTGAGTGAGCATGTGAAACTATACCCAAATCCTTGCACATTCATGCCATTTTTCTTTCTCCAACTTCAACTAGATAAAGATTATTCTCGATGGAAATGCACGTGCATATCCTTCTCATAAAATAAATAAATAAATAAATATAATAATAATAATAATAATAATAATAATAATAATAATAAAACTTTGGTTTTGTATGCCACAAGAAACATTGTTGGGGAACTGTATGTTTTTAAAAGATAACAAATTCATGGGAAAATTGGCTTGTCAATGAATATATTGTCTACAAATTGAAAAAAAAGATATGTAAAAGGAAACAAACTGGAGATAAATATATTTTTTTATTTTTAAATATATATAGAACCAGTTTTGTTTAATTTAAAACTCCAAGATAACATAATTAATTAATTGTTGCTAATTGTTTTGTTTGTGTCATACCGAAAGAGACGAATCTTGATCATGTGATGACTGGTGCAATTCAGTGTGATGATGGAAAAAAATGGACATTTTTAATATATAAAACTGAAAATATAGCGGAGCAAAACCAAACAAAAAAAAAATAAAATAAAATGATTTTGATGTTGAATTTTGAGTTAATATCATTTTTAATTTTGGAACATACATTTTATTATCATTATTATTTTTTATCATTGATATGATCTTGATTCTCTGTTTGAACTTTTTTACTTGCACGATGCATAGTTTTTTGACCCGGATCGGCCTGACGGGTCGATCTGGAGCTGAAATCAGTTCGGGTGGCCTATTTGAACCGGGCAATAAAGAACCCGGTCAAAACCCGGCTAACCCGGGACATTGACCCGACAGGGTCAACCCGGTGACCCGACCCATATATATATTTTTATTTTTGTATTGTTTTTTTGTTTTTTAAAAATAAAACTATGTATATATGTATATATGGTAAATATTTATCATGAGATACATGTTATTAACACTTTAATGTACAAATTTTATACACAAAATATTTATTTGTGTTACTTTTATGTATGTTTATATACAAAAATACTCTATATATAATTTTAAAAATTTTATAATTAATTATCCAGTTCAACAATTGATTCGATGATCCGACGATTGAACCGATAACCCAGAGACCTACCCGGAGATTACCGGGCGAGTCTAAAAACTATGGTACGATGGAATGCGAAGAAATTATAGAACTGTTTTGCCATGAAGAAAATATTAATGTGAGTCATGTGACAAGTTGCAAAATATGAAAAAAAAAAAAAAAAAAAAAAAAAAAAAAAAAAAAAAAAAGAAAAGTGATGCAAGTAGTAATTTTATTTCAATTTTTTCACTTTTTACAATAAGTTTGGAAATAATATTGTGATATGTGCAATTTTGCCTAAATCATAATTCAACAAATCAACATGAAAAAATTCCCATATCCAATATATAGGTAGGAATTAATAAGCTTATATTCAAAAAATAAAATTAATGAAGAAAACAAAAATGCATTTAATTAAATTAAGACAAACAAAAAGATGAGGAGGTGCTGTTCTTGTGAATGCCCGTCACATGTACAACAGTAAAGTTACGTGACACGTCTTATTACACGTCGAATATATCTAATTTAATTCAAACACATTATCATTGAATAAAATTAAATCATTTTCCCGAATGAATTATAACGGACATTGAATTTGTTTACACAAAACTAACACGATTAAAGATTTAAGAAAAAAAATATGAATAAATAAAAAACAAGTAATACAAGAATTTATGATGAAAAAACTATGCCTTTCTTCTACAAATTATATCATTTTTCCACTTTACCAAACCTTAAATCAAACTCTTTGCACTCCCTTTTTGACTTTATACGTTACTTTAGGAAAGCAACCTCCCACCAATAAATTCCAATTTTTTTAGGGCGTTACTATTTACCGCCCCCCTTATTACTAGTCACCGCCCCCCTTGGACG